GATTGTATTATTCCATGACGTCTTACTGATATTGACATCAGGTTGCATATTTTTTAATCTAAAATTTATTTCATTTGGAAAACTTTGATAGAACTATTAAGCAGTCCTTAGTCCAAGTCACTCCAGACAAATGCTCCCCCTGCTGACTTTCTCTGAAGATGCAGGGACACCTGAAGCCTTAGCCAAATTGAAGAGGTGAGGGTTGGGGGAATTAAAACTGAGAGAAATGGAGAAAACACACTAAATGAACCTGATTACTGTGTGCATATTATTCCAAAGGCAGTACTCTCCTGTTGTTTTCAAGATATTAAATATTTTGGAGGAGAGGGCAGAGTACTTTTCCAAGTTAGTTGACACATAGTTACTCATTTAAAATTAAAAGTATGTGCCCAATAATAAAAGATATGAAGAGTATAAAATGAATGAAATCAAAGACAACAGGATATTTTGGCTTCATTTTAAGCACTGTCTTTTCCTTTCCTGATGTATGGCCAATGTCTTCATGCTACTGCAAATTCACTTCAAGCAATAGTGGTGTGGTAATAAATTAATGATTTAATAGCAGGGTTTTTATTATAACCATTTCATGACTTTTCTGGCTGAAAGCCATAGTTTTAAGTCTTTAGGAGATGGTTACTTATTCCCATTAGAAAAGACTATAAGAGCCAAAGATTGATTCTGCACATTTTTTAAAAATCTGTCATAGACACACCATTGAATGGAGTGTAGAAATGATGCATACTTTGAAAGAAAAAAGTGGGGAAACATGGAATGATAGTTTGTGCAAAATAGAAGCAGTTTGCAATGTCAGCTCTTCATCTTGTGAAGCTAGTAAAGTGCAGATTTTAAAATTTACTTACAGGATGAAGGTTATAGCACATTGCTCACTTTTATTATCGTTTCAGGTGTCATAAAATACACTTTATTATTAACTCAGAAACTCTAGTTTCTTACGATTACAGATAACAAGAGCATGTATGTTATTTCACAGTATTTTTATGTCTGTTTTTCTCTTGTTGCTAATTTACTTTCACTAACTTCACACCTTCTCTTACATTTCTTCAAAAGGCATGATACGCTCCTTAAAATGCATTTTTATAAATACTAAATGTTCAGCATTTTACAGTCATTTTATTATGCTAACCTAAAAATACGTCTTTTGCAACAAAACTATTTGAAATGAATATTAAACATATTAAAGCTGCATTAACAGAGGTAAAAATACTGGAAAATTACAGTTCTTTTTAACTAAACTATAAAGTCTTGTCTTGTTTTAATAGATCCTTTAAAAATGTCATGGAGCTGACCCATCAGTTACTTTTTACATAGCCTCCATGTGAAATGTGGGTTTGAATGGCTATAGTTTCACTAATGAAAAAAGGGAAATGTAAAAATTCTTAGAGAGCTTCTTCCCTATAAGTTTCACTGCACTTTTTCTCAGTGAAAGGATTTAGGCATCAATGCATACAAGGGATGAAAGTGGTAGAAATTCCACCAATACTCTTGTCAAAACTAGTGTCTTGAGTGGAAAATGTTGAATGCAACTTTGTGTACCAACACTGATTCCAAGGAAGCTTCTTCTTCCATCTATGCTGAGAATTCTTGATACTATTGTACTATTTCTATTTAGATACTTACCAAAATTATCCATGCTCATAAGTATAGCATAATATTAACTGCATAATTACCAAAGTCAATAGCCATATAGATGAAGAGGCCACAAAAGTGACCATTTTGCATTTCAGTTTATTTTTATTTGGGTTTATTTATTATGTCAACAGCCAATCTCAGCTAAGTCATACAGATCAAACACATGATTGAGTCAGCTCTTATGGTGGCCAAAATAACCAGATTGTGATATGCAGGCTTTATTTTAGATCACACAGACACAGCCATAGTCCATTAGGCTCAGTAAAATGGCTCAAGTGTAATTTCCATAAATCACTGTATTTTTCTTCACATTTCAAGCAGACAATGCATAAACTACTATTAGTATTTACAGCAGCAGAATACATCCTTTTCCATACCAAACCATGATTCTGGAAATACGCCAAAATCAATTTTCCCCTTGCTCTCAGTAAAACCCCACTATTCCAAATAAGAATGGCATTCACAGTTTCATTCCAAATGAACAAAAGATAATAAACAAAAATTATCCAAACATGTTTGGTTTTTCTGCAATTATATTTCTCAGTGTTTGTAGGAAAATTGCACCTTCTATAACTTACACACCATTCTTGATTTTCTTATACAAATTATGAGTATTTTGTACTACAAAAATGTGGCCATTTCTTTCCTATTGTATAAGTATAGATTATTTATTTCTTATTTTTCCTCTCTGTGTCTCAATTTCTTTATCTGAAAAATACCTCCACTTTCTTATCTGTAAAATAGTACCTAACCATAGGGATTAAACGAGTTGACACATAGAAAGCAATTAGGTATCTGGCATATAGGAAGTGCTCTATAAGCGTTAGTTATTATTGAATCATTTGTATTATCCTATTATTATGAATACTATTTTGGAGCATTAATTTTTTTGTACATTAAATTACTTCCAAAGTCAGATCAGTCAAGAATAAATTAAATGTATATGGCAACAATGAAGGAAGACTACGAAAGGTCCAAATTCATAATTTAAGTATTGTGTAAACTTTTAGCATTTGGAAGTGTGACAGTCTTTCTGACTCATCCAGATGTTTTTACCTCTTCTGATTAAAAGGGAAATGCTCCCAGTTGAGATCCTGAGGGAGTAAAACTACTAGAAAAATTTGATGCAAAGAAGATTTTTCACATCTGAAAAGCTAAAAGTTAGTATGTTCAGGAATAAATAAGGGTTGTTTTAAGCATCCAGGGACATATAGGATTTACAGACTTTAAAAAAAATCAAGTAGTTTTGTTATAGTTAATCAGTAAAGAACACTATTGAAACACCTGCCAAAATTATTTGATCAAAGTATAAAATCTTAAGCAACTGAATTTTCCAGAGGCTAATAAAATATTATTTTGGGGCACAGGAATTTAAATTTGCTTCAAAGTGGTAAAATGCAAGTGCAAAAAATAGCTTGATATGCCATATTACAACCCAGAACTACCCTCTTCCCACATAGCCTGGAGATGTGCCAAAGTCCTACACCTATTCTTGACTTTATGGCAGACTAAGTCCTTTTCCTATGAGCTTTTCTGGGCATTAGAGAACACAGCCTAACCAGCATGGAGCTCCGCCACAGAGCAGAAGCACCATAGGAATAATGTGGCAATGTTTTATAAAACCTAGGGACCAGATATTTATTTCTGCAGACAAAGCCAGCCTTCAGCAACATTGTGAAAGAGATGAAGTTTCCCCAGTACAAGCCATTAGACATCACTGAGTATTCAATGCTCTCACACTGCCCCCTAACTTCCCATAGACCTTCTCCCTGAGTAGTACTTCTGATGTAGGACCAAAACTTTCAATCCTGGCTGCACCAGAGCTTTATAATTCTTCTGTTTAGGCTCAACCCCCTGAGATTCTGATTTAATTGATATGGGGTGGAACCTAGGCATGGTTTTTTGTTGTTTTGCTTTATTTTCACTCCAGCTCCCTAGATGATATTGATGTGCAGGTAGAGTTGAGAATCACTAATGTAGAAAAACAATTGGGTTTGCAGACCACTGCAATTACCAGTGATGCTTAAAGTGTAGGGGCACCGGTGAAAAAGTCACAGGGATGTGAAGTATAGTATAGGGAATATAGTCAATAATATTATAATCACTATCATGTCCAGCTGAAACTAATAAAATATCATATGTCAACTATAATTTAAAAATAAATTTTAAAAAGGAATGCAGATTCTTGACCACTCAGCTATTCTGAATCTTTAACAAACACCCCAGGTAATGTCAATTCATAGTTACATTTAAGAACAAAAATTTCCCTTATTAAAACTTACCTATCTTTTGTCCCATTCACTATTAATTGGATAGAGCAATCCAGAATAAAGTGATAATGGGTGCTGTTGAAGTCAAGTGTTACATTTTGACCAAGCCTCCTAAAGAAAATGCAGAGGGTAATCCCAATAGTAAGCACTTCTATGATAAGCTGATAAGAGTGGTTTTGTTTATTTGGTTATTGGGGTGGGGTGGGGAGAAGACAAACCTTTTAGTGTCACTCAAATCCTATTATACGGGTAGTTTTCTACTTCAGTTGAGGCCTGCCCTGTGTGTTAATTCTTAGTAAAAGGGAAGAGTTTGGATTTCTGCAGCTAAGCTCCTGAGCCCCAGTGGCTATATAAAGATAATAATAAATATTACCTTATGGCTCCTTGCCCCATGGGTGACCAACTCTTCAAAATGGCAATGCCTTCATTAAATGCATTAAACTCAAAGTGATAAGTACTCACCAGCATCTACCCATTTCTCTTCAAATATGTAAATGTTTGTGACTATTTCTCCCATGACATCACCTTACATCAGTGGACCTCAACCTTGACTGCACACTGTAATCACCTGGCAAGCTTTAAAAAATACATATGTCTAGGTCCAACCTTCCAGGTTCTGAGTTAACTGGTCTTGTATGGGCCTGAGTGTGAGGTTTTTTAAAAAAATATTTCAGGTTATTCTACTGTGCAAGCAAAGCTGAGAACCACTTGCTTTAAAGGAAATGGAGCAGTCTTCCACAAGTGTGTCCAGCAAAGCTCACAGGAAAATAATCTGATAAGTAAAATTACTATGTGTGAGGTGGAGCTGGTACAAAAAAGACATTTTTCTTGTGATTAAAAATGAAATCCTGCTTTGAAACCTGCATAGGCCTGAAGAGCATTATGCACGAATCACCATCATTACATGGGGTGTTGTTAATATGTTACTTTTGTTTGATGTGTTAATTCCCTGACATCATTTACTTCCCTCCTTCATAAACTACATTGAAAGCACCCTTACTTCCAGAAATCAAGATAAATATTTCTTAAACTGAAATCTGGCCTCTCTGGGTCTGGATTGGTCTTTGTTTTGTTTTGTAGGTCACTCTCCGGGCGCATTGTTGGAGGGGTTTGGTGGTTCTTCACCCTGATCATAATTTCTTCCTATACTGCCAATCTTGCTGCTTTTCTGACTGTGGAGAGGATGGTTTCTCCCATAGAGAGTGCTGAAGACTTAGCTAAGCAGACTGAAATCGCATATGGGACCCTGGACTCCGGATCAACAAAAGAATTTTTCAGAGTAAGTTCTTTGCAGTTAATTGGGCCTGCTTATTTTTATTTTATCATCTTCACACAAAGGCAAATTCACAATGCCTTCAAGGGAGGGTTGGGGAAGGGTGGGAATGTTATCAAGGCAGAGCATCTAATAAACAACACTCTTTGGTTGGTGACCTAATTTATTATCCTTTAGAACTAAGACTCTTATGTGACATAATAAGTAGCATGTCAAGAGCTCTAAGCTTGAACCTCCACGTTTGAATCTCAACCCTGCCACAAAGTGTTTGTTTGTCCTTGGGCAAGTCATTTAACTTCTGTCAGCCTCGGTACCCTTACTTGAATAATGAGGCAATTGAACTAAATAATATCTATTCTGCCTTCTCATTTGTACAAAAGCAGTGATTTTATGTCTCAGAAGTTCACAGAAGTTAGGTAATTGACTCTGTCTGAGACTGAGGAGTGATTGACTATAAAATTACATATTCAATTTTAGACATTGGTTTTCTATGGAAATGTATTACAGTTGTTTGAAGTATTCATGTACATGCTAATAACTTAATTTTCAAGGAAGCTGATAACTGTTTTAATTTCCTGAGTAGACTTATCCCCCTCCCCTTTAACTCTCCCTTCTATAGGTCAAATCTTAGTGGGGAAACAGCAAGTTGTTGACTAGCAAAAGTTAGTAACCCTACATAAACACTCTCAAGAGGAAAGATAAGGGATATAGAAGCAGCAAATTATAGAAGGATAATATAATGAAGAGAACATTTTCCCACAAACTATCAGGATCTTTGTTCTGTAGCAACTAGACTATAAGAAAGGCTACCAATAGAGTGTTTAAGAACTCAAATGTTTTTTCAGTTGCCCCAACTGGGAAAACATGGTGGTTTCCATTAGAAAATAGACCCCTTCTATGCATTATCACTGCCTGCTACTTTAATCACTGCAACTGGTTCTAAAACCCACTTGTGTAGCAGGTAAAGAGGAAATATTTAGTCACTCTCTCCAACCACTAATCAAGTTATTGGATGGCAGGTATAATTACTGACTTTTCCTCAAAGGTATAGAGTAAAGAGATATTGTTTACAAACCAACTTGTTTTAAGAAATCAGTAAGAAATATATTTCGACATGTAGTATCATGAGATTTGTCCAATTATTTTATGGGAAACAAGGAGAAGTGTGTTTTTTGAAATTATAACAATTAACTAAAAACTTTTCATTTTCTGAAGGAGAAAGGGTTAGTTCTGGGACCTTTCAAAAATTCTCATTGGCTTTCGATGTCCCTATCTCACGTCTACCCTGTTGAACAATCTACAACTAGGGAGAGGGTCCCAGTATTGGCAGTATCAAAATGATACAAAGACCCTCTGAAACTAACCTGGCCTTGACTGTCACTACTATGACAGTACCAGAAGTTTATCTGGAAATAATCTCCTGTCCCTGTCAAATTGCTCACACATTTCAGGGAAGGAAGCCAGGGATTTCCATCTGCTGAGTAGTCAGCACATAATCAGCTCCATGAAAATCTGGTTTGCTATAAACTTCAACAGACCTTATGTTCACCATCCCAATAGGCATCAAATTGCTAAATGAAATAATTGACCACTTAGGGTATCAAGACACCAGACAGACCTTCTGATACGAGATACTTGTTCCAATGGAAAGCATTTTTCCTTCAACAATTAGAAAATAGGAAGGTATGCTTTAAGTGGATTTGATAGATAGCATCAATTCCCATTAAGCTTTCAAAAGCCACTCATCCATATTGCAGGAAAAGGAAGATCTCTGGGAAGATTTATTAGCATAAAGGCTCGAAAGTGTGACCAAATAGTCATTGTCCCCACACCCAGACCCCAGACCCCTCACGTTTTATGTCTTTCTCAAAAATCAGGAAAGCATCTACTAATCCATTCAATGATGGTTTTATTACAGAGCATCATATTACTGGAGTCAATTTGAATCAACAGTCAGTTTTGAGTGAAGCTATTTCCACATTTTAATTGGCTTGCAGTTTCTCATGCTCACCAATTCCTAGTGATCTTTATAGCCAATGAGTAATTTGTATGGAAGTGGAGCTGTTTTGAAAATCTGATTAGAGAAGGAGCTGGATACTTCTAGATATAAGGAAGCGCAAATCATTTTTTAATATCCATGTGCCACTTTTTCTTTTTCCCCAATTGGTTGCTGGTAACAGCATTAGGACTCTATAGGAAAGTTCTTAAGGACAGCAAACAAAATTTGATGATCAAAGTGTGGAAGTAAGCAGTATAGAAAAAATCAACTCGTTTAGCTTGCCTGTACTAAAATGTTATGTGAACCTAACAAAGGGTAAGCTCTGTATTAATATAACACAGGGGAGTACAATTAATTGGTCTTGAAGCTATTTGTCCTCTCTATGTGTCTGCTCCACCCTCTTTGAGCCCCACAGATTAGAGAAAGCAGCCAGCAAGAACACATTATCTTTCACCCAGGGACTTAACTGCTATAACATGTCACTTTCCCCTCAATCCTCAGTAATCTCAAGGCAATTTTAAGAATAATAACTCCTCCACATATGAAAAAATTGGGGAACTCTGCATGCTTTCTGAACTTTAGGAGAAAACAAGATCACATTCAACATTCACAAAAATTACATAAACTCATTTTGTTTCATACTAAAAGCACAAGGACCCAAATAATAATACCATAAAACAGCCTGAGGACAGTCCTATAGATTTTCCCTAAGAGAAAGAAATAAATAAAATAAAATTCCTTTCTAATTGCACTGCAGACATTTTTAGTCGTCCCAGGTAAGTATGCCATTAAAATGGTGGTATTCTAACCCTTTTGCTGTAACAGTTGGATATATCCAAATGAATATATCCAAAATTTTTATACATAAAAATAATGTCTTCTATATCCAAAGCAGCTCAAATTGTTATTATTAGAAGCACGAAATAGTCAAAATATCAACTTTTTGTTTTTTGTGTGTATTTCTGACACATTGAAAAAAAAACTTGGAATCAATTAATGCAGTGAAAGAGTTAAAATGATTCCTTTGTTTCTCTCATTTTCTGAGTTATCCTTAGCTGTGATCTTACAAATCACATAAACTCATTAGCACAGAGGGGCCTATTCCATCAGGAAAATGAGAAAGGGAGGGAGCAAAATGCATGCAGCTGGGAGAGACTTCTGAAATATTACCAACAACCCTCTTGAGTTGAAAACTGATTTCCTTAGACAACAACTCCAAAACTAAGTGTCCCAACCAGAGGTGGAGACACCCAGACTAAGAAACAAGTCAACAGCTTTATTGTCATTGCCCAGAGAAATGCCACTATGATTTGGAAAGCTGCACTGAAATATTCAATTCTCCACTAGGTTTTGAAAATTTAACCTGATACAAATTCATCTTAAAAAGTAGCACTGAAGGCAACCAACTGAATGGACAAAGATGTTTGCAAGCAATGCCTGTGATAAGGGGCTAATATCCAAAATATATAACGAACTCATACAATCAACAACAACAACAACAAAATCCAATTAGAAAAATGGGCAGAGGACTTGAATAGACATTTCTCCATAGAGGACATACAGATGGCCAATAGACATATGAAAAGATGCTGAACATCACTAATCATCAGAGAAATGCAAATAAAACCACAATGAGATATCACCTCACACCAGTTAGAATGGTTATCATCAATGAGACAAATAATAACAAGTGTTGGAGAGGCTGTGGAGAAAAAGCAACCCTCATACACTGTTGGTGGGAATGCAGAGTATTACAGCTGTAATGGAAGGCAGTGTGGAGATTTTTAATTTTTTCCTCAAAAAATTAAAAATAGAATTACCATATGACCCAGCAATCCCTCTCTTGGGTATCTACCCAAAAAATCTGAAAACATTTATCAGTGAAGATATATGTGCATCAGTGTTCATTGCTGCTTTATTTATCTTGGCCAAGACATGGAAACAACCAAAGTGTCCTTCGATGTTAGAAGATTGGATAAATAAGTTGTGGCACATATACACAATGGAATACTATTCTGCCATAAGAAAAGATGAAATTGTGCCATTTGCAACAACATGGATGGATGTAGAGATTATAATGCTAAGCGAAATAAGTCAGACAGAAAAAGCTGAGAACCATATTTCACTGATACGTGGTATATGAAACTGAAAATAACAAAGGAAGAAGAAAAACAAATGAAGAAACAAAACTCACAGACACAGACAATAGTTTAGTGGTTACCAGAGGGTAAGGGAAGTGGGGCCTGGTAGATGTGGGTAAAGGGGATCAAATATATGGTGATAGAAAGCGAACTGACTCTGGGTGGTGAACACACAATGTGATATATAGATTATGTATTACAGAATTGTACACCTGAAATCTATGTAACTTTGCTAATAATTGTCACCCCAATAAACTTCAATTAAAAAATATTTTCATCACCCCAGAAAGTTAAAAAAAAGGTGTAAAAAGAAACCTAGAGAAAAAGAGCATTCATTTAAACTTGCAACAATATAAACATGAATAAATATTATTGCATGGATCCGTAAAAAGAAAAATTAGCACTGGGAGAAAAATGCAATTCCAAAATTCCCTCTGCCTTCAGACCCCTAGAAATATTAGAAGACAACTATGATGCTTGATTTCTTCTCCAGATACTTGGTCATACCCTCACTGAAAATAGTTCAGGGGATAATTGATTTGCAGGTATTGAACTAAATTTGCATCCCAGAAATAAATCCCACTTGATCATGGTGTATGATCTTTTTAATGTATTGCTGAATTCAGTTTGCCAATATTTTGTTGAGGATTTTTGCATTTACATTCATCAGGAATATAAGCCTATAATTTTCTTTTCTTTTTTTTTTTCTTTTGTAATGTCTTTGTATTGTTTTGGAATCATGTTAACGGTGGCCTCAAAAATGAGCTTGGGAGCTTTCCTGCTTCTTGAAATTTTTGAAATAGTCTGAGAAGGTTTAGTGTTAATTCTTCTTTGAATGTTAGGCAAAATTCATCTCTTGAAACCAT